TTGGAGTACATGAATTGTACACATGCAAGTTATTTTCAAACAAAAATTTCGGGGAAGAGAGAAATTGGAAGTGATGGACATTTTGAGTCATAGTGCAAATAATGTATACATGTACAAAAATACATTGTAATATAGAATATGGCAGGATATTTGATCCTATCATACTCCTCTAAAATGTACATCCCCCACCTCTCCACAATCAAAATTTTTCTTTTTTGCCGCCCAGCGAGGGGCGCGGCGCCCATTACTCAGATTCACCGCCCACTACTTCGGCGCTATGAATTTATGACTCTTTCCTCTCTTTTTTTCAAGGTTTCTTTATTCCATCTTTAAGTACCGCTCGATTTTCTTTTTCAATCTCTACTTTGAATTATTCTCAACCTGACTTCCGGGTTTCATATTTTCCCAATCTCGACTCTACATACTCAACCCCCCACCATCTGCACCATGTGTACCGGTGCCGACCCCGAGCCTAATGGGCAAGCTAATGGTGCTACTGGCACTGTTGCTTCCAGTATGTCAATTGAAAAGCTAATATACCACAATTTCTTACTAACAACTCTTTAGACGGCGATCACGCTGGTTTCGTTGGCATTGAAACTCGCCAGAACCCCCACCCCTCCGCATCCCGCAACCCCTACGGCCACGACGCTGGCGTCACCGATTTCCTTAGCAACGTTTCACGCTTCAAGATTATTGAGTCTACCTTGCGTGAGGGTGAGCAGTTTGCCAACGCTTTCTTCGATACCGCCAAGAAGATCGAGATTGCCAAGGCTCTCGATGACTTCGGTGTGGACTACGTGAGTGCCGGACAAACGAAGAGTTCATATTTAGAAACAAAGGCTAACTATGGTCACGCTATAGATCGAACTCACCAGCCCTTGCGCTTCTGAGCAGTCCCGCGCGGATTGCGAGGCCATTTGCAAGCTTGGCCTGAAGGCTAAGGTACGTTAGGGTTTTGCTTGGGTCTCGTTACTATTGATATCTAATAACCATTACAGATTCTCACTCACATTCGCTGCCACATGGATGATGCCCGTATTGCCGTGGAGACCGGTGTTGATGGAGTGTGAGTTTCGTATCTTCGTCCTTATTTTGTTGACTCAGAACTGACTTTCTATAGTGATGTTGTTATCGGTACTTCCTCTTACCTCCGTGAGCACTCCCACGGCAAGGATATGACCTACATCAAGAACGCCGCCATTGAGGTTATCGAGTTCGTCAAGTCTAAGGGCATTGAGATCCGTTTCTCCAGTGAGGACTCTTTCCGTTCCGACCTGGTTGATCTTCTGTCAATCTACTCCGCTGTGGACAAGGTTGGCGTGAACCGTGTCGGTATTGCCGACACCGTTGGCTGTGCCTCCCCCCGCCAGGTCTACGAGCTCGTCCGTGTCCTGCGCGGTGTTGTTGGCTGTGATATCGAGACTCACTTCCACAACGACACTGGCTGTGCCATTGCCAATGCCTTCTGTGCCCTTGAGGCCGGTGCCACTCACATTGATACCTCCGTTCTCGGTATCGGTGAGCGTAACGGTATCACCCCTCTCGGTGGTCTGATGGCCCGCATGATGGTCGCCGACCGCGACTACGTCAAGAGCAAGTACAAGCTCGAGAAGCTCAAGGAGATCGAGGACCTCGTCGCCGAGGCCGTTGAGGTCAACATTCCTTTCAACAACTACATCACCGGATTCTGCGCCTTCACCCACAAGGCTGGTATCCACGCCAAGGCCATCCTCAACAACCCCAGCACCTACGAGATTATCAACCCCGCCGACTTCGGCATGACCCGCTACGTTCACTTCGCCTCTCGTTTGACCGGCTGGAATGCCATCAAGTCGCGTGCCCAGCAGCTCAAGCTTGAGATGACTGACGCTCAATACAAGGAGTGCACTGCCAAGATCAAGGCCATGGCTGACATTCGTCCCATTGCCGTCGATGATGCCGACAGCATTATCCGTGCCTACCACCGCAACCTGAAGTCTGGCGAGAACAAGCCCCTTCTTGACCTGACCGCCGAGGAGCAGGCCGCATTCGTCGCCAAGGAGAAGGAGCTCCTTGAGGCTCAGGCTGCCGGTCTTGTGGTATAGGCGATTTCATTTTACCAATACATATATTGTATCATGCTATCTTACGGTGGCTTGTGCAAAGACGTGGCAGATACCTGATGATTTGATGCTTTTTCATTTGTTTTGACATCTTTTTCCATACCATACAAGGGTTTGAAAAGTCTTATTTTTTTTTCTTTTTCTTTTGGGAGGGCCAAAAACACATTTGTGTTAGGAGAAGAGAGTTCTCCTTTATTTGTACATATAGCGCAGAAGAGGTAGTAACTTATTCTTAACTTCAGAGTGTTGTGCATATATATAGGAGCAGTAGTAGCAGTAGTAGCAGTAGTACGGAGTAGCAGTTGCCTACATAACTATGTACACCTTGGTCTGGACCAATTACGTCAGTGGAGAAAGACGAAAACCCAAGTAAGAAGAATCAATCTAGAAACTTGTGAAGACATTATCATTGTACCGAACAAATACTATTTCAAGTCTATCAACACTCAATTTCTATAAGATACAGATGTTCCATCACTATATGCGAAACGTTGAGTGCCTGCTTCATGTGGGAGCCGAGGCCCGCTAGACTCAACCAGTCAAAACGTACCACTTGAGTGAAACATCCCCATCGCCACTCCCACCCATCATTATTGCATGACTATTCCTTGGGGGAACAATGAGCTCTTCAATGCTGCCAGTTGCCCTGCAGAACAAGCTGATCGGCTACGGCCGGGTGTCCAGCGCGCATCTATCTGCCGCGAACCTTGACATGTAAGTTGAGTAATCCCCCGTTCCCCGCGGAATCAAGGCCAGAATAAATGACCAAAGGCAATCACCACTGACACATTTTGCTCGCAATTTAGTCTTCGCAACATCGTATTTATCCTATTCATCCTTCGGTATACGCGCAAGACCTTCTACTCCATCCGCGGCTATGGTATCCTCGGTAGCATCCGCAACATCTACATCTCACTCCGCCTGTTCTGCTACAGCATCTTCTTGCGCGTTCCTGGTGTCCGTGGCCAAGTCGATAAGCAAGTGAGCACTGCTATCACGAAACTCGAATCCAAGCTGGTCAACTCTGGGCCAGATGTTACACGGTATCTTACGCTGCCCAAGGAGGGTTGGTCGCCGGAGCAGGTCCGCGCTGAACTGGATAAGTTGGCTGGACTTGAACATACCCGCTGGGAAGATGGTCGTGTTAGCGGCGCCGTTTATCACGGAGGTGCGGAGCTGTTGAAATTACAGGCTGAGGCCTTTGGACAGTTTGGCGTCGCAAACCCGATTCACCCGGATGTTTTCCCTGGTGTTCGGAAGATGGAGGCTGAGGTTGTTGCTATGGTATGCATGAGGATCTCTACATCTGGAGTACGGTCTTTGAAGGAGGCTTTCGGCTGATGTCTTCTCTAGGTTCTTGCTCTCTTCAATGCCCCCTCGGATGGTGCCGGTGTAACTACCAGCGGTGGTACCGAGTCTATTCTTATGGCTTGCTTGGCTGCCCGGCAAAAGGCTTTCTTGGAGCGCGGTGTCACTGAGCCCGAGATGTAAGTTTATTTATGGCTACCATTGTACCGAGCAGCAAGACTGATCAATCATCGCAGGATTATTCCCGACACGGCACACGCGGCATTTATCAAGGCTTGCAATTACTTCAAGATCAAGCTGCACCGCGTGCCTTGCCCGGAGCCCGAGTTCAAGGTCGACGTGCATGCTGTTCGCCGTTTAATCAACCCCAATACCGTCCTTCTTGTTGGGTCAGCGCCCAACTTCCCCCACGGCATTGTTGATGATATCCCCGCTCTATCACACCTGGCCACCAAGTACAAGATCCCTCTCCACGTTGACTGTTGCTTGGGATCTTTCGTTGTTGCCCACCTGAAGAAGGCTGGCTTCCCCTCCCCTTACGAGGAAGAGGGTGGCTTTGACTTCCGCCAGCCCGGTGTGACCAGTATCAGTGTCGATACCCACAAGTACGGGTTCGCCCCTAAGGGCAACTCGGTCTTGATCTACCGCAACAAATCATACCGAAACAACCAGTACTTCATCTATCCCGACTGGTCCGGCGGTGTTTACGCCTCTCCCTCCGTGGCAGGCTCCCGCCCTGGCGCTCTGATCGCCGGTTGCTGGGCCAGTTTGATGAGCGTCGGCGAAACCGGATACATCAACAGCTGCACTGATATCATCAACGCGGCGCGGAAGTTCGATACGGCTGTTCGGACCGATGCGACTATCTCACTGCACATGGAGGTCATTGGTAACCCGATCGTCAGTGTGGTCGCTTTCCGCAGCAAGAACGGTGCCATTGACATCTATGATATCGCCGATGACCTGTCCGCTAAAGGCTGGCACCTCAACGCCCTGCAATCTCCACCGGCTATCCACTGTGCCTTCACTATTCCCACTGCCAAGGCTGTCGACCAGCTCATTGCTGATCTGACTGAAGTCATCGGCAAAGAGCTTGAGAAGGCTGAGCAGCGCAAGCGCGAGGGCAAATCGTATATCCTCCAGCGCGGTGATACCTCTGCTCTGTATGGTGTGGCTGGCAGCATTCCCGATAAGAGTATCGTTAGCCGCCTGGCAGAAGGCTTCTTGGATACTTTGTACAAAGCATAATTCTTGGAATGAATACCTCCATTTCCTTGTTTGTATCTTCTTTGCTCAACCTGTCCGGACTGCTTCCACAGCATAGTCCTGGTGTCTCCTAGCTGTTTTTGCCTAAACTGCTGGTGCAGTGGCATTATCATTACACAGAGCCTTTTAAATTGCACATATTTGTTTCAAGTGTTGGATTCCACTAGACGGTAATAATGCATATAATACAATAGTTTGCCGGAAAGGCATTCGCCCGATAGATGTGGACGTAGAGTACATGACCAAAAGAAAAGAAAAAAGCAACCCGCTCCATGCAAGCAAAGCCAAAACAGAAAAAAGAGGACGCGATCGATCAATCAATCAATCATCCGTCCGAGTGAAAGGCATTTCAAAAGACTCAGATTCCATCTGAGTGTCCAAGACCGGCGAAGAAACCCCATTTTGAAAAGTATCCCATTCCACGCGAAGCTCAATGACAACAATCACTGACCACCGAGTTCCCCCCCGCTGCTCAGTGCAGCTCTTTTCGGTATAATATCCGGGATCAGGCTTGCGCTCAAGATGCACCTCCTGCTTCGTGAGGCGGTACTGGCACTCCTCGACCTGGACAAGTTCCTTGACTTTCATGATTTGACCCGCGACGGAGGGCGAGACGCTGTGGAAGACTGTTGCCATACGCTTCTTCAAGCCAAGAGCCTTGAGGACATCTGTTGAGCGGCGCGGGAGTCCAATTGCAGAGCGGACGAGGGTGATGCGGAAGTAGGACATGTTGGATTGTGGAGATCAAGAGGATCTGATATTCGGATGTTTGTTCTTTTGCTGGCTTGTCCGGAGTTGTGGAATCGGGCTCGGGAAGGACGGAACGGAAGGTGGTGAATGTAGAAGGATACCGGAGTATCGTTGGATGAGAATTTGCAGCCGATATCTGCAGCGCAATTGATCTTGTGATCTGGCGGAGAAACGTCGCGGACTTGGGACATGATCGCGATCCCGCAAATTCAATTAGAAGGCGGTAGATCACGTGCATGTTCTGCCGGGAATCCGATGACAGCAGCGACGACAACCTATCAACCTGTAATAGCTAATATAGTATTTCACATTTTGAAAGCGGAGACTATGGGCTGCGCTCTTTCCGGCGTGACAGTACCTGGATTTATATCATAGCTCGCCGCTGCGTACTACCTTCCCGCCAGCAACGCCCTATGCCCGCACTGTTGACACCTCACCCCTCGACCTAGCTTCGAGCGATTGAGCCAGAACAACGACACCACGAGATACCCGATACCGTACCACGATCATGGCGCAACCCAGTAATATTGATACTACGGTCGCGCTGCCGCGACTCGAAGACCTCCTTCGGCACCCGGAAGATCTAGATAAGATCAGCGGTCTCAAAGCGGAATACCTGCGGAAGAAGGCGGCAGTTGATTCACGATTGCGTGAAGGTCTGCGAGACCAGCTGGAGGCCGTGCAACGCAGCATTGGTGCTCTGACTGAGGGCCAGCGACAAGTCTCGAAAACAAAAGACGAGCTTCAGGGCATTGACAAGCTGTGCGCCGAATCGCAACATAGCGTGGAGGACTTTGCGCAGATTGACCAGCTTGCGCGGATCCAACGACATTTCGATGCTACGCTTATGATGAAACGGGGACTGGAGAATTTCGGCGCAGATATCCAGGAAGTGGAGGACTTGCTTAAAGAGGATGATGACGATATGGAGAATCAGCTTAATATTTTGCGGGCTCATATGCAGATCTCACGGTTAAGGGATTTCCGTGACGAGGCTATGGATCAGATCCGCAAGGCGGAGGACCCCAGCTCTGAAGAGACTCTGATAGAATACTTTGAGGGGCTGGATTCTGTTATTGAGTGGTTCGATGACCACCTTGGCACCGCTTGCATGAACCTCATTCCATTGGTGCAGGCGGACAACAAGAGCATGGTCGTGCGACTTGCTGTTGTTGTCTTGAACGAAGAGAAAAATGATGATACAGTCCGAGCGTTACAAGAGGCCCAGAAAGACCACAAGGACCTCGCAAGTCGTTTCAAGTCTATGAACATTGGCCCCAAGACTGTGCGGGGCTACAAGGACAAATTCATCCAAGCTATTGAGCTTTACGCCCAGGGCCAATTTGAGGAGACCCTCGAAAACTTCCTTGCAGATCCAGAAAATCTGGAAAAGAAATTCCGGTGGTACTTCAATGATCTATTCACGGTCAAGCAAGGCATGCAGAGCCTTGTCCCGAAGAAATGGAAGATATTCAAAACCTACACCGATATCTATCATCAGATGATGCATGATTTCCTGCTCAGCATGATCGATGACACCGAACTCCCAGCCGATAATCTGCTCAGCATCATCCACTGGAGCGACAAATACTACAAGAAAATGAAGAAGCTTGGCTGGACATCAACAGACCTGCAACCCAACATTCTCGACGACCGCGAACCAGAACTAGTCCGGAAGTGGCAGGACGTCATCATCACCGCCGTCGAAGAATGGATGGACCGTATTTTCAACGCAGACAAAAAGTCTCTCGTGGAACGTGCCGCAGACGCCCTGGACAACAACGCAGAAGGCCACTTCCGAACCAAGACATTGGCCGACATGTGGCGCATGCTCCACGAACAAGTCATGGCATCAGGAGCATCAGACCGCGCAGACCTGGTAGAGGGCATTATCGACGCCATGTTCCGTGCCTTGAAGGCCCGACAGACTTCATGGCAGAACCTCTTGGACGAAGAATGCTCGAAACATCAAGTTGAAGGCGCGGACCAAGAAGGCGTGCAGCTGTTGCAAGACTGGCTGATCGGCATAGCCAACGACCAGATCTCCTGCATCGACGACAACGAGGAGGACGGCCAGTTCGGCTACCTGACGCGGTTCAAGTCCGACTTCGAGCCTATGGTCACACCCAAGTACATGGGCACCACTGCGACGATCGAGCTAGATGCGCTGCGCGATGGCTACGTGGATCTGAGCACGCACTGCCTGGCGCAGTTCGTGAGCCTTGTCTTCTGGGTCGATCTGGACACTGTCCTACCAGACTTCTTCACATCCCGCTGGTACGGTGAATTCGCCATGAAGCGTATTACCTCCACCTTTGAAGACTACATGGCAGACTACGCCTCTGTGCTGCACCCATCCCTGGCAGAGATCTTGGTCGAGGAACTCTCGGACGAGCTTCTAGTGCGGTACCTGTCTGCGGTACGCAACAAGGGCGTTAAATTCCGCCGCCACGTCGACCCTTTCACAGACAAATTCAAGGACGACGTCCTTACTGTCTTCGCTTTCTTTGAGAACTACCCTGACTCTTTCGAGGGTACTATCAAGCAGAAATGGCGACTGGTTGATTGGCTCGTTCGCCTCCTCTCTACGGAAAAGGGCCCCGCGCTTGTGGAAGTTTACGAAGCATTCAAGCTTGAGTACTGGGATCTGCAGCTTTCGTGGGTTGAGGCTGTGCTGCGCACCCGTGATGATTTCGAGCGCAGCATGCTCACCGCCGTCAAGGCTAAGGCTGCGGAGTTGTCTGTTGAACGGGGACAGGAGACAATCATGAGTCGGTTGAGATGATCTGTTGGTACTTGATTCTTTCAAGAACACTCGTTTTCCCGATTCATCTCAGCTCCGTATGCAATTAATCGCGCTCAGCCTCATTTATCTCACCGTCACGGGACTCGAGTTGATGTACTAGCCTTCTAGCTTTTATTGTCCCGTCAAAATCTCAATCAACCATTAAGAAGAGGTCGTAGAGCTTCTCTTCGTGGCTCAGATGATGCCAAGCTGCACTCTAACGCAACTCACTTCATGATGAGCAAGCCCACCCACATGTACCATCCGCAACCCAAGCAGGCTTGGGATCTAGGTTACTCATTAATATTACTAGCAATACAGCAATGGAAGCAAATCTCTAAAAGAATTTAGTTTTCTCATAGATATATCTAAGATACAGATTCTATTTACAAGCATATCCCCAATTGATCATTTTCTGCTGGATGGCAGGTTGTTACGTGGAGGCGTTTGTGTTCGACAAGGGGGGCGATGTCAGTCGTGGATTCAGACTCCGTTCTGCAACAACCGTATACTTCTCGCCGAGCCGTTCATTCAAACCCTGACGGTCGTCAACCCCAGGATATAGTTTCTTGGCGCCCATTTCACAGATGCAAATAGTATCCAGAGGGATTTCCCTTGCCCAAATGAAAGGATGGCCCTGTGACGGTGGGGGAGGAGGAGTGGCCGAGTGGTTTTCATGCCTGGTGGGAATAATGTTTTTGTTTGGGATTGGTGAGGATTTCGTACGGCGGTGGTGACTTTCCGTGTTCCCGGGAGAGACATTAGGTCCTGGGTGTGGGATAGTTTGATTGCCTTCAGAGTAGTAATTACGATACTGCGAGATCAGGTTGCGAGCATCAAATGTAAGTCGTTTGGGTGGACCATGTTTTTTCGCATCCTTGTTCTGGCTTTGTCGTCCGCGAACATAAATGGTATTGACAATAGTCGCATGCAGGAGGAGTGGTCGCTGTTTTGGTTGTCGGGGTATTATTGCTATGGATGGATCTGGCTTTCTCGATACGCCGGGGGTTGTAGAGGGAATTTCGCTTTCTCGTGGATGTAAAGACACATCACTAGAGATAGTAGCAGATTCAGAGGGCACAGGAAAGTCTTGGACAAAGCGATTCGCGGGCTTTTGTCTTCCTGCTGGTCTTTTCTCGGGCTCACTTTGGATGAAGCCAGCTTCAATGAATTTGTCACGTAGCTTTATGCAAAATGGAAGCAAGCGGCCTGTAGGATCGACAGGTGAAGCGTGTAATATGGTTGCTGATTGACCTTGTGGCAGAGCATGTAATGACTCGAGAGATACAGTCAAGGGCGATGATCGGTGGAGGGTTCTTTTCTGTTGTGTCTGAGCGCTGACTCGCTCCGCCTCTTTCATTAGGTCTGCTAGATCGAGGGATTGGAAAAAAGTAAGAGCTTGATCGAGACGCTCTTTATTGGGGAGACTCATCACTCCAAGAGTAAGATGAAGTGTGCCTAGTGGACGAAAAGCTGTGCTGGGAAGACCCAGGCGGGAGGTGTCCCGTTGGCTATTGGAGGACGGTTGAGAAGCTGGCCCGGGATCAGTGATATGAGCTGTTTTGAAGGTCGCGAGCGATTCTTCTAACTGCGATAGCGATTTGGCGTTTACCAGAGGGAGACACAGGAAATGGGTAAGTTGCGGCCGCTTTTGCCGCTTTTCGGGACGCGGTTTGCGGGGCTGATGTCTTGATGTGCCTGCAGCTTCCGTCATGATGAACCTGTATCTCCACAAATGTGACAATAGCATGAAGTAAATAAGTGCTCGCACGAGGCTGTCGCCGAAATCGCCTCTGAATAGGTAGTGGCAGGAAGAAGTCAGAAGTCGGAAGTAGGTAAGCATACCCTTTGTACCTAAGGTAGGTTTAAGGCGCACGGACCAGGGCCCACAACCTTGTGTCAACTACGTCTAGGGGTGGGCGTTTATATATCTCCTGTCCATCGCTGAGCTATAGGTTATACTAAGGATCTTCAATCTCTCTAACATGGTCCTCATACTGAAACCCCCTCCTAGCACGTAGCCGTTCTCCATACTTGATTAAAAACAACGGCAAAGGCGAGAGAACTAAAACTATACATCCTAGAAGTGTCCCACCCCAGTGGTATCCCAGCGCATCAAATAAGGGTGGTCCCATAAGGGGCAAGAACACAGCGGTCGTGTTCCTCACCACCATCGTTGCACTGGTCGCGCTGACGGCATAAATTCCAAATGAGTCCCTAATATACGTCTGTAACGAGATGGAGGTCGCTGCGAGCCCAAGGCCAACAAGTGCGGTCCCCAAGATCGGCACCACAAACTGGATACGATATTGAACTATCCATCCAAAGAGAAAAAGGTCGGTGGACATCAATAGGCAAGCCTGTAGAAATAGAGGAAGACGCTGCTCTGGAGCGAATACTTCTGACCGTGAAGTAAACTATGAGATCACCTCCGAATACATGTATGGGTCAAATATTTCTTCTAAATTTAAGATTTAATCTCTTTACTTAGGCCACGAGGCCTACTTTGAAACAAGATCCACTATAAATTGAGCGTTAAAGATACGAACAGTGAAACGACGAGTAGTGCTGTTCCCCAGCATCTTATTCTTGATAACCGTGGGTCTGGCCGATGAACTCCTGTGACGCCTTTGATGCCTTATTCTAGCTCATTTTGGTTGTGAATACCACTCTTCTCATATTTGCACGGCATAGTTGGAGGTCCTTTCGGGTTGTGTTTTTCAATATCAAAGATCATGGCACACATGACATTTTAAGTATTCAAGAGGCTATTATTTGAGACAGGTATCAGCCCAGAGAGCCTGGCAACGTGCGCTATGTAAGATGTTCTCTGTAGTGCCCTTTGTAGATTCGAAAACAGCATCTTCCGGCCCTGGTGCTTCTCCATTGCCAATATCCACCAAGCTTTTCAGCCTATATTCCTCAGGTGGGAAATATTGATGGATGACTTCTGGCGCCACAGAGATGCACCTGAGATTGCCAGCCTTGCATTCACCCATCATCTTGATGTCGAATGCCTCACCTTGACCAGCTCCGGTTAGCCCCAACACTTTCCTAGCACCATCATGAGACAACGCATAAGCGAACGAACAGACTGGGTTGTTGGACCAATATATAGCTCGCTTTCCGTCAGGTAGGCGGGACAGGTATTGATGTGCCCAACCACTGTAGTTTGCATGTGGGCACACTGTATCATCTTCAAAGAGAACTGTCTCAAATCCTTCCTCCCAGTATTCTCCACAATGGCCAATCCAAAGGACATCCCAGCCGCAACCGTACGGCCACCTTTCGTCTTGAGCGGTCTTTGTCAAGGATCTCACTGCGGATGCAATATTCTTCATTTGTGTTCTGACCGATACATCCCAGTCAACATCATCCTCAATGATAAGGGTGGTTTGAAAATTGGATTGGTAAGCAAATTTGATCAGATCAAGGTGCGCAAGCCACGCCCGGCTGCCACCGGGGGTAGGGTGATCTTTCTCTTGCTCATGGGGACCTAGACGAGCAAATGCGTTGATGAGATCTGGGTGTGTTGGTGGCTGTGGGGGAATCGTGATTTGAAGCCCAGTCAATCTAGCGGCGGCGACAAGGCCCCGAGTCCGCCATGATTCACTGTGGGATAAAGCAAGTATCTGTTGGAACTTCTTTGGGTCAGCAAGCTTGCAGACCAATGTAGTCAAGAGAGTGGCTTACTCCCAATGTCTCGTTACCTGCGCTCTCTTCTGGATGTGGGGGAATTGTTGGGAAGACGGATGCCGAAGCAGGTTCGCGCGTTGGGGATAAATAGAGGGGGCGAAAAAAAACCCAACAAGAAACGAGGAGTGCGGCGAAAAGGACGAAAGAGGTCTGACGGGATGAGAGCAACATGTGGACGCTAAATGGCATTGTCTCTATGTCATGTCTCAGGGCAGCCGCATTGAATACCTTCGATCGGGTGTGAAATGCGATGATTAAATCAATCCAGCTTCCGAGACAGGTCCCCTGAAAGGGGCCGCAACAACGATCAGCATCAATAACACGTGAAGTCAGTAACGCTACGCTAGTCAGATAGTTAGTACCTTGTACCCTTGTCTAGTGGACGGCGCCGCCGCCCTAGCCACCCATGGCACGTTTCGGTAACTCCCTCATTTCGCAAGTAAACTATGAGATCACCTGCGAATACACGTATGGGTCGAACATTTTCTTCTAAAGATACCGCAAGAGCACACTTCATGTCTCAACATATCGCTCAATGGGCGATATACATGCAATCAAGAGTAAATTAACATTCTGAATTGAGTTTCCGCTTGCCCAATCAAATGCTGGGGAGAGGGGGCGGGGGGTTCCAAGGCTGCACTAAGACGGTCCCGCATAGACACTACCCGTGGAAATCTCCCGCGCTAGGCTTTAGCGTGTGATTGGGTTGGCTCACGGTACTATTCGGACCTGACCATCTCCACGGGAGACGGACTTTTACGGGGCCATACTTGATGGAGGCTCGAATCATTGTTGCATACTCTGTACATGTCCTGAGGTCTAACTGCTTTCAGCTACGCACGGCCATACTAGATCATCCGGAGCAAATCCTGTGCTCGCTATCTTGAATCGGTGTTTAGGGACCTTGGAAGGACTAACTAAGAAGGGTCTAGCGAATCAGTTAGTGCTTTGGAACCAGAAAACCCCCTTTCCCTAAGCCAGACCCTATGGGTTGAGTCTCAGTCCTTGCGCAAACTCTGTCTGACGACTCTGTCATACCTACTACTCACTCTTTGTCTCCATCTCCTGTGTTCCTTCATGAAGCACTTCTTAGTCCTCCTGCTAACATGCGCCTGTGCATTTGCGGAACCGGGGATCTTCTACAATCCACCGACGGGAGGTCCCATTCATGAGTACCAGAATAATCCGGTTTACACTCTTGGGGAGACAGTGCAGATGCGCTGGGATACTTCGTTGGAGATCTTTTCAATCATGCTATGGCAAAATGATAACTCAGACTTTGAATGGGTGCAAAGTATGTCATCCATTTAGGCCTTGACCTCTTGCCAACAACTTCCTAACACAGTCAAACACTCTCAGCCAACCTCTACGGAGTCACCTTTTATGACTGGATCGTGTCAACGAATAGAAAATTGAGCAATGGGGAAATATTTTTCTTCCAAATCCGCAATGCTTCGAATATTAACGACCTGAATGAAATATTCGCCAGTCATTACTTCAATATCACCAAAGACGACTCAGCGACTTCTACCACATCAAGCCTTGCCGTTTCAACTACACAGGCCACGGTACCTACACCTAGCTTGAGCACTTCCTCAACTACAACCCAAGCGGTCGCTACGGCCACCACTGTAGGCCATAATAGCCAGGGAAATAGCGGACTATCAGATGGTACCAAAGTTGGCGTGGGAGTGGGCGTCGGACTCGGGGGTGCTTTCGTTGCGGCTCTCGCGCTATTCTTCTTTGTCCGCCGCAGGTCTAAGAGCTCAACCCAGGTCAATGAGAGCATTCCTGTCACATCTCAAACTCAGCCCGCGATGGATTCAAAGTCCCACAACGGACAGGCTCAGAATGAAGCACCTAAGATCTTCGAGGCTCCAGCAAACGAAGTTAGGCGATTGACCGAACTACCATGACGAGTACTTGTCTATGCTATTGTTTAATAAGAGTTGATAGATCATTTAGTGTGACTGAATCCTACAGAAAACTTGCATTGGACTCGGATAGATATCGGCCCAAAGAAACGAGCTATATCCCCCAAGCTGACCATAAGATGGCATGCACTTTCTAGGGGAAGTCAACTGTAAGGCTTCCCATATTTAGGAGATTTTGTAGATGAGCTCAAGAAGATGATTTTACTATTCAGGGGCGTGTTATAACTGGCAAGCAGCGGGCAAAGTACGCCTCCCACGTCGCGACTCAATTCCTGCATCCGCAACAGTGCTGGTTCCAGCGGCCTCATGCAGGTGGGGTTTTTTGCTAGAGAGAAACGGGGGATTGAATGAGAGCTGGCGGTAGTGATTAGGTGTGAATCGAGTGGGTGTCCATCCGGAATTTCGTCGTCGTGGACTCGGGCAACTTTTGATGCAGTGGGGTCATTACAGAGTTGATCTTTTAGGGTATGAGGCTTTTATTGAATCGGGGCCTCTAGGGAGGTGGTTATTTGAGGGGCTTTGGGCGGTTACGGATGACACGTGGAAATGGCCTGCATTTTTACATTCTTAATATGTTCTTTTTTACAATGGAGATACAGATATAGTCCTAGACACAGAACAGTGTGTATATTTTATTTGGACATCTTCCAATACCATCCTCGTAATCCACAAGCTTGTGCCAATCAAATCGTCGACGGGGTGTTTTTTTTGGGGGGTGCAAAAGGGAAAAAGAGAGCGGTATAACCCTAAGCTGATATAAATCCATGGGTGGTCCGCAAATTGATGACGCCCATCAGCGTAAAAGAGATCGACTAGAGAAGTCAATTCCATTCCCCCATCTCACTTCTTAGCCATTTCACTATACTCCAATGTGGGCAATCACCATACAATTCCACCTACGAAGATGAAATCTATATTCCAACGGCACCGACGGACAACCCAACAGAAGAACCAACAGAGACCCCTACCAGTCGACAATTTTCAAAAGATTCCACCAGAAATAGTGGAAACACTCTTCACATTCCTCTGGGTAACAGACCAAGTTTGCGTCGCACTCACTTGCAAATATCTCTTCGTTTGCTACCAGTCATTTCTTCGGGTGCGGAAAACGGGGGTCACTGAGCTCCTATGGCGTGAACCAGTTTCGGAATTGCGTTTAGTTCGTCAACTGCAGAATGAGCGTTGGCAATACTGCTGGTGGTGTTACAAGCTGCACCCATTCTCTAGGTGGAGAGCTTTTATGTACATGTGGGGATACAGAAGAAAGTGCTGTCCCGTTCGTGACTTGGTCGGTTGGACTATACCTGATATTTGATGGGAATTCAAAGCTTCTGGTGTCTAGGGGCGCTACTTGGCGTTGATCTGATCATGTTGTCTGAGCAGGGGAACCAGAGATGTGGATAATAAATCAATTACCCCGATACCCGCGTCAACATCTCCTAGAAGGTGGAATTATGCCCAGTCGAGAGCATGTTTCAGACAACCCAAGGGATTCCATATTGCTCCCTGTTTTCTAATTTGGCAAACAAGATAGAACACCACCAATAGCTATTTTTTTCTTGGTTTTTCCCCAGTATTATCACGAAAAGCAGTCTTTGATAGTAGGTCTACTGAATTTTGTGACATAAGCTCAGTTCTTGCAAGGTCGAATTGTTGTATGTATGATGTTCAATTCCCCTTATGTACATTGATTCCCCCGAGTGGCCTAACCTAGTTCGGCTTTTGTAACTTGAATATCGCCACCACCCCTTTCATAATATCCCCAGGCCATCCATGATGTTCGACGTTTCGCTCGGTGAGCGAGCTCCTCTCGCTCGTTGCCTTGTCGCCCCGTGAAGTATTGATACTGCTCAAATGGATCGCCACCTGGATTTCCGATAAGAGTTATGTTGCCTATGGGTAGACACAAGGCATGAGAATGTTGACCGAAGTGATGTGTTGGAGACCCTGTTGCCTTCGCCTTCTCCCGCTGGTGGTGGTGGTGGTGGTGGTGTCGGTGTTGTTTTCTTCCTTTTGTTTCTCCCGTCCTTCATTTTTCTTGTTGTGTTTGAGATGATATTCTGTGATGAACGGGGTTGTCCAGTTATGTTACAGGGCATAGCTCCCCATTGTAACTTTCGCGTTTGAAGGCAGGTTTGTCCCATAACAGACATAATTGCCAGATGTCCAAGCCACAACGTCCCGATGATGAATTCCACATGTTGCCTCCATCAAACCCTTGAATGGCGACCACTGTCATGTCCCAGCAGATATTCTTGAATTTCTCTGAAATTCAAGGAATTGCCACCGCTTGTCTCCGGCTGCATCCAGCAGATCACAACGCTGAATTTCGTGTCCCAAAGCCGGTTAGCCAAGTCATGCACTGCAATCTTTACTGGAGCCGAGAACATATTGTCAGAGAACGGATCTGCGCAGTCCCCCTACTGACCACCCAGCCCATCCCAGGGACAATATTGCAAGCGACCGAGATAAGCTCCACCCATCCAGCCAACCTCGGGAACCCACTTCATCGCACTTGCAGATTATCCTTGGGATGGGTAAGCCTAGCGAAATGGAACCGGTCCCCGAAACTTGACCGCGGTCTCCATCCTGTGGCTCAAGTAGAGACAACATAGAATATTCACCACCAGATCGCTGTAAACTAGCAGCGAACCGAGATGCACAAGGCTGAAGAGACCCAACCTCATTTTCTGATCGAAGCCAAAGCACTGAGGTTTCAAGTGTTGTTCGTCAATCATCCCCAGGAAAAATGCATCTAGACTTGGTTAGCCAATTGTACGGCTTCGAGTGTGCAGGGCATAATCTCACTTGATCAAGACCAATCAGGTGCCGTTAAGCAATATGCAGGGCCTAGTAGCAAGCGAATCTGGGTCGATGGACTAGTTTGTCTGTTTGGCTGTTGGGATGAACCTAGAAACACAACAAGCGTCAGCAAAAGCTGGTAAGGCCCGTCATCGCAGAACTCTATCTAACTATCTAAGGAGGTTGGCATGGGAGATGGTTATCCGTTTTGGTTGTATTGAACTTCCTTTAATGTGTTGTCCGCTCAGGAACCTTACCTGAAGATGGAAGAGTGCGCGGTCATTTTTGTATCGTATGTTGGAGAGATCAGTGCAGCACACTGAATTCTAAGCAAGCTGGAATAGACGGCGTGGATGTGTGAGAATAATAATACCTGGTAAAAAACAACAAGCGTCAGCAAAAGCTGGTAAGGCTCATCATCGCAGAATTCTATCTAACTATCTAAGGAGGATGGTTGGTGTTGGTGTATTCAACCTCCTTTCCATGTGTTATCCGCTCAGGGACCTTACCTGAAGATGCAAGATTATGCGGTAATTTTGTGCGTGTTTGTTGGACGGTGGCATTGGCAATGCTAAATGGCAAGCTGGAGTGTCGGGTCCAGTAGATGTGTCTGAAAAGACAAGCCAGGGCTGAACAACAAGCTGAAGTAGGCTGGCAAGTTGTTCCGAGCTGGGTGGTGATATGAGAATTCCTGGTAAAAACCAGCAAGTGTCAGCAAAGCTGGTGAGGCCCATCATCGCAGAACCCTATCTAACTATCTAAGGAGGTTGGTTTTAGGGGTGGGGCGAGGGGGGAGGTTGTCCGTTCGGGTTGTATTCAACCTCCATTCCATGTGTTATCCGCTCAGGAACCTCACCTGAATATGCAATGTTTGGTTTCGGCAGTATTCTGCGCTGGAAAACGACTTAAAGTAGACTCAAGCTGGCAGGTCTCGCCGAGCCAGTTGTTGATATGCAGGTGCCTGGTAAAGACCAACAAGCGTCAGCAAAGCTGGTGAGACCCCGTCGCAGAACTCTATCTAACTATCTATGGAGGTTGGTTGGTGGTGGTGTATCAACCTCCTTTCCAATTTCCTTCCGCTGTGGGATCTCACCTGAATGTGTCGTGTGCGGGTGGCCAGTATATGAATGCTCAAGGTACTATGCCTTGGAGATTCACTTGCGGTGGACCGGCAGAAGTTGCTGGGTCTGCTGGTGAAATCGAGGGGTCCAGAAGGATCAAGTAGTTCTGGATATCAAATTGGGCAAATTGGCATTTGTTGGTTCGGTCGCTGGTATGGAGATGTCTGGTAAAAACCAACAAGTGTCAGCAACGCTGGTGAGGCCTATCATCGCAGAACTCTATCTAGCTATCTAAGGAGGTTGGTTTGGGGGAGGGTTGTCCGTTTGGGTTGTATTCAACCTCCATTCCATGTGTTGTCCGCTCAAGAACCTCACCTGAATATGTAATGCGGAAATTCCCGGTGCATGCTTCTCGGATGATTGCTGTTTGCACCGTTGGGGGTAAACTGAGTTCGTGTTGGCATATTTTGTAAATTTGCCTGGTGGTATCGACGGGAGGTTCCTGGTAATACCAACAAGCGTCAGCAAAGCTGGTGAGATCCCGTCGCAGAACTCTTTCTAACTGTCTATGGAGGTTGGTTGATATTGGTGTATTCAACCTCCTTTCCAATTTTTTCCGCTGTGAGATCTCACCTGAATGGGATGTGTGGAGATGGAAGATTGGGCATTTCCTTCCGACATTGATGTCGATGTTCACATTGATGATGACGGTGGTGGTGGCATCATGACCTGTGTGGCCTTTTTCGTCCGTAGTCCAGGCTAGTGTCATTTTTCATCATGCAAGGCCCTGTTCGATGCAGGAAAGGAGATGCAAAAGTGCCACTAAAAGCAGAGGAGAAAAGAGTTTCCCTGCGTCAGTCAATGGACTGGTGAGGTCTTCCACTCATTGCGAGCCAAAAGAACCCTGGTGGTTGATAACGCTGGAGTTCTCACCTGGAAAAGATCGAACGCTACTGTGAATGTGTAGCAGGCAAAGAAAGTATAAATTGAATCCCTAAAAGTAGAGGAAGAAAAAGTTTCCCTGCGTCAGCCAATGGACTGGTGAGATCTTCCACTCATTGCGAGCCAAAAGAACCCTGGTGGTTGATGTAACGCTTGAGTTCTCACCTGGAGCATAAAGTGTCTCACCATGGGGATCACTCGTCCCATGAGCAGAAAGAACATATCAAGCAGAGTGGGTATGTATCACAAGCATGGACTGGTGTTTTTGTCTCTGCAATTCGTTAGCTGAGTAACAGAACAACAGGTTCCAACATTGTTCATTGATGTGGGACATGAGAAAATGATATGCATAGATACATGACGAGGTATCAGGAGGCAGGTATGATTCCATGATGTGGTGGAGTTAGGGGACTATAACGATAATCACAATATGATGAGACAAAACCCATGAAGTAGCAGGGACAGGATGGGGTAAGAAAGGAAAAAAAGAGACAACAAGACAAGACACAAAACACGTAGACGTGACGAGACATAGAAGTGGAAGAAACAAATGTGGAAGTAACAAGTGTGGAAGGAACAAGTGTGGAAGGAACAAGTGTGGAAGGAACAAGTGGAAGGAAGAAAGGAAGGAAGAAAGGAAGGAACAAACCTTGGAATGATGGAAGGTACTCACCAGTCAACATGGTCCAGATGAAAAGTGGATGAAAAGTGGATGGAAGTATGGAGAGAAGATGGATGTAGGAGGAAAGAAAGAATTGGGAGAGGGGGAAGGGGAGGAGGGTATTTATATGTCGAAGGTGGGAGTGCATCTGGGGGGTCCTTCCATTTTAGGGAAAGTAGTTTGTCTGGGAAAGGGAAAGTACTACCCTCTCTAAGTTAACGTGTATCGTGTCTCGAGACCCTGGATATAACGATGACCTGTCTAGGGAGACGTGACAACTCCAGGAGTCAGCTACAACTAGCTCCCTTTGGGAGATATTGATATCTACCTAGGTGTAGTGATATCCTGTAGAGTATTGTGAAGATATACAGCCATCTATACTAGTAGCCATCTGTATAGGCGACACACCATCCTCTGCAGAGGGAGACGAAGCCTAAACCTGAGATCACATGGACATGTTAGCCAAGTATACTTCAATCCAGAACTCATCTCATATGTCCGACGCCGAAGGTATCGACGGAATACATTTAGCCATACAAGTAGGACGTAGTAAATGGTGACGCAGATGTCCACGAGACTGCTCGATATCGATACTAGAAAAGACATCGGGGTATTCTGTTATGCATAGCGTGTCTACCCAACTAGCTATTCAGGCTATCGAAGTCCTACATCGTCGAAGGTAAAGGCCAGCCAAGCGGACGGCTACTTGGGGGTAAATACGTAGATTATGTGTGCAGTCTTCGTTGCATACTAAGAATGATACCCAGCAAAGTTTAGAAAAAGGCTAATACGGCAGCTTGTAAACGCTAGAGATGACTGGATGGTCTTTGCGGACCCGTGGGTTTCATAGACAAGTAGAGAACGCATAGCATAGCAGGGTATCAAATATCTCCCATATCGATTCCATAGTCGAACGTACATGTATGGGAAAACGGAGAGCCCAAGACCTGGGGTTCCTGGCAATGGCACTTATGAAGCCTCCTTCTTGCGACCCTCGACAACACGCAGAACATCCGTGACGTTATCTTTGTCACCCTTCTTTTTCTTGGGCCCACGCTTTCTCTTCTTCCCGCCTCGTTCGTCGTCGTCAAAGTCGAGCAGGGGACCATCGTCCTCCTCTGCGTCGTCGTTGCGGCTTCCTCCGAATCCCATATCCATATCTGCAGCATCCATGGCGTCTCGGCGACGTGCCTCTTCAATGAAGCGCTTGTGACGAAGGGCTGCTGCATCAGAAGGCTGGTCTGCGTCGTCCTCTGCCGAGGGGGAGCTCTGTCGGAGAGCTGCAGCTCGTTTGAGGGCTGCAAGAATGGTTGGATCTTTGATGAGGGGGTTGGATCGGTCCATAGTCTCCTCCTCTGTAGTGGAGGTCCCAGTCGCAAAGTAGTTCTTGGGCTTTGCAGGTGCTATTTCAGGGATGGCGGACGGCTTCTCTTCGCTAACAGTAGCCTTTTCAGGTTTGCGAGTAGTCGAATCTGCCACCTCACCATCTTCATCAGACGATGACTCGTCTTCAATTCCAGCGAGGGGATTGTAATCATCACCGACACCGGCAAAGATGTCGTCGTCCTCGTCCTCGGGTGCCTCTTGTGCAGCAGCACGGGCAGCAATATCAGCTGGAACGTCCATGCCAAGGGGTTTCATATTTTTATCGGGCATCATAAGGTCTCCCGCAGGAGGCACAGGCGCTTCAATAGGCTTATCAAGCCACCTGGTCTTCCTCTTCGTATTTCCTTGCGCATCTGTGATAAGAAGCACTTCGCGTCGACGGCCGGTCTCATCACGCTCTACAAAGCGCTTCTTCTCGGGTTTTCCGTCGCTCAGCTTCTTGAATTTTGAACCGAGGATTGACTCCGCCGGTGGAGCAGGCGCAGCAGCAGCAGCACGGCTTGCCTTCAATTCCCGCAGAATTTCATCGCGGGTCTTCGGCCTCGCAGGCGGCGGTGCCATGGTCCCTTTCTTCTTTTCTTTCGGTTGCTTTGGTGCAGCAGCAAGCTCCTCGAGCCCCTTCTCTTCCATCATACGCTCGAATTCCTCATCCACGTCTTCTTTTTCGGGGGGCGGCGCAGGTTTTTCGGCCGCTTGCGACACGTCCTCGCCAGCTCTAATCCTCCTCAACAAATCCATATCCAGTCCTTTGACCATGTGTGTGCTTGCGAGGTCACCTCCGACTCCGAGGTCTCGGCGGAGTTTGTCGAATGTTGCCTGGTCGATTTGTCCCAACTTAACCATATCCTCTAGTGCCTTGATCCGCGCCTCCAAGCCCGCGGTCTTCTCATTTTCATTTTCTGCATTGCGCAATTGCGCACGATCTTGATAGCCGGTCGGTAGCGAGGTACCCTTCGGCGCGGCGGAGGACTTAAATCGCTTGGAAGGTCGATCGCCCTCACGGCGTTGCTCGAAGAGCTGACGGGCGAAGTCCACACCAGTGACTGAACGTCTATAGCAGTACCACAGATGTTAGTTTCCTGTTGAATAGTAGCAATCTGCAAATCAAGCAACGTACGGTGTCATGGGAATACTGGATCGCATTCGCGACCCCAATGATCCGCCCGGGGTTGCGCCGCCACGCGATGCATCGCGACCAGGTGCTGGGCTCTGGTCCTTTGGTTTTGACGATGACTGGTCGGCTAGTAGCCGGCGAAACTGTTCGTTATTCATGATTCGCGAGCTCAAGTTGCTTGAAACTGAAGTTAAGAAAGGCTTATGTCAAGAAATGGAGATCCGGCTTGGCACTGATAAGGTAAGACTAGTATATCCACGGGTCCACGGATGCCCTAAAGTAAGCGTTTCATTATGGAGGCAATTTGGTAAAGTCGCATCTTAATTTTCTATTTGTGCTTCGCATTTCTCAGGTAAATACAACTGCCTAGTATAAACAAGTGGATGGGCGGGCATTTGGCCTAGCGGTTGTCGTTGGTGACATTGGCGCACTGCTACTTTGGATCCCCGTCCATCCTCAGCTTGAGTGCCATTTGATCTCAAGCTGCCGGATCGCCTACGGGCGATGACTTTTATTTATTTACTTCTTATTCATTTCCAATGACAACCATGCATGCGGCAAGCAAGTTCTGCCCGCAATTCGCGAATTCGACAGAGTTCCCACAGGCCATACTTCGCGATAGTGAATTCGTGCTGAACTTTCATGAAGACCAGAAGGATTGTCTCAATCCAAATGGCCATAGTTCATTCAAAAACAACACACCCAGTGATATGCCACTGCTAGATGCTGCCAGTCAGGATCCCCTTGAGGCGGTATTGGTACCCTTCCGATTCCTCCCTATGTGAGTCCTGCTTTGGATACTTTATCAGATTATGTATTAAAATGGCGCCACTTTGGCAATAAACTTTCAGGATATATAAAGCATGCTGGTATTAATATATATTCATAGCTACACGTATTTATGTACAAAGTGATCACATTGAAGTTTAAAGAGACATATATCCTAGTACATACGCCCTGTCATTCAACTACATAGTCAACCTACATGTAGAAGTCATGAATCGTTCTAGCAATTTCAATATTTCGCTTTATTGTAGCATCAAGGCACGAGATCAAGAGAGAAAACGCGTGTTGGATACTAGTTAAAACAGATATAAAGGGGGGATATATGTAGCAAAGCATAGTCTTGTCATTAGCATCGGGGAAACGAACCTAATGATACATTCACAAGTCCAATCCGCATTTGAGGTGAAGGTAGATTGATATTTTTGAATCGTAACTACCGAGTGAACTTATTGATGAAAAGCATGTCCGATATACAGTGAAAATGAGACAAAAAAACATGGTAAAATGCACAGTAAGGAAAGGAAAAGAAAAAGGGGCTAAACACACACAATCACGATCATTTCCAATTCGTCATCAAAAATTCAACAGTAAAAAATCTAAAAGCATGCACATCAACAATCGCAAAAGAAAACGCGCTTTTGTGTTCATTAGATAGTCTCCCAGCCACCGCTGTTGATCTCTGACTCCAGCTTGCGGCTGATAGTCGCGGGGATCGAATGTGACAGCCAAACGTCGCGTAGTAGCCGGTCGTAGCGCTTCTGGTTGAGAATAAGTTGGCGGTTACGGCGGAGACCGGGGTCGACTTCGCCGTGGCGGTCAAGGTAAGGCGCGTAGTGCCAGGATCCGTTCTTGTTGTGCAGATAGAGTACTGTGCATTTGCGAATATTGATGAAAAGACCGACGTTTTTACCACATCTATTATGGAAGACTGATTAGCTGAAGAGTACTTGCAAATGAAGTGGGAGGGTATAATTACTTTTGGAGATGTTGGTTGCAGCCGCCAAGCTTGTTTGACATGCAGCATACTGCCTGTGAGCAGAATATTTCTCCACAGAATAAACAGATACTCGGATCAGTGAGCTCCTTCTTGGAATTGGGGCAACGGCGACGGTTTGCCTCTTCGATTAGGCTATCGAAGTACTTGGGTAGGCCGACAAGCTCAAAGATAGCAGGGTGCGACAGGCTGGGCCAGAGACGGTGGTCTTCGAAGCGGATGCCTGAGCGCGAGGCGTTCCAGTGGAAGATCCATCCTGAAATTACTGCGTCGAATGGGCTGTTTGTTTTACGCGCGGGCTTGACAGACATGAGAATTTCATCAATGGAAGGCAGCTGAAGTGCTTTGGTTAGGCGCTCAAGCTCAGAGGACTCTACATCGGCGAATCCTGTGTTGGGGAACTCGACGCCGTGCTGAACATGAAGGAGGATGACTGCCTTGCGCAGGAATACTAGTCCGTAGCTCGTAACAAGTCGCCGGACGGCAGTAATGATGCTTGGGGTGGCAGTTTCCTCTCCATCTTTGACGTAGCCACTCTCGGCGGGGAAGGAGGAGCCCTCGGCCCGGCCGACAGAGTTCGCCTTCAGTTCAGCAACGATCGAGTCGAAGAACTGCTTGGTCACTCCGAATTGTTCTTCGGATAAATCAGCAGCCATGGTATGGTCCTCGGGGTGGCTGGCGAGTTCCTCCTTCAATCCCAGTGGCCAAAGAATGAAAGTGACAGCGACCTTAACAATCTCAGCCACGAAGCACATCCGCACAAGATGTCTGATATCAATATCAAGCACTGGAAGCAGAGACAAGGATGACTCTGCGAGGAACACAAAGGTATCAACAGCAAGTAGAGGCTCGATGTTACGGACATCATTAAGCAAAGCTGTGCCACTCAAACAAGGGTGCCCGACAAGTAACTGACAGATCTTTTGACGGTGCATCTCTTGGAACTCATTTGTTGGGCGCCCTTTTGACGGTCCCGTCGAGTGGAGACACCCAACAGCAGCATATGTCAACGCCGTCTCTGATAGAACACGGAGATGAGTAAGCGTCAACGAAGGAATTGTGTCGAGCAAGGTCGAGCCAGGCTCTGACTCGACACCACGCTGCGCGATCTCCACTGCAGCAATGCTGAAACCAAAGCTGCGAATCAGAGAATCAGTATGCACAAGATCATCGTTGGCATTCGCCTCAGGAGTGTTGTTGAACATCGAATTGACATTGTTCGCCTTGAACGTCTTCTTCAGCCGCCTGTAGCTCTGAAGCAGTTCCGACATAGGGCTGTCCGAGGGACTCGACACGTGCTGAAGTGGGCTGGAAGGCGGGAGTTCTTCGGTGGGAGGGAAGACACCTGGCATTGGCATGCGCGCTGGCGTGATGTACTGTGCAGGGGCAGTTGTTGGGAAAGACGAGACCCTCAGTTGATCAATATTGGTGGAAAGGGGAGAGACCAGACTCTTAGACAAGTAGTCAATAAATATGTCAGTATATGGTTGAGGATAGACCTTCTCCTTCTCCATGAGGACTGGGAAGTTTTGCTGTTGGTTCAAGGTGTGCTTGAGACCCAATTGCATCCACTGGTCGAATGATTCGGAGGGGGTGAACGGAATAAGGGGAGACTCTTCCTTGCCCTTCCAAGTAATAGGGAGGAATGCATTTCCAAGGGCTTTGCAGAGAGGACAGACAAACTCCTTGAGGCTGGTGTTTTCGGGATGATGACGCGCAATCTGCTGGGTGTGGCGCCGCTGCGTCGCCGTAAAGTACTGCTCAAAGCAGGAGTAATGCATGATGTGGCCACAGCCAGTAGTCACAGGCCCACGGAGGGTATTCTTTGCGTTGAATCCCTTACTCAGCCCAATCTTTTCGCTGATGACTTCACCACCAGAAGAGTCAAGACGCTTGATGGTGGTATGGTTCTCTCCAGATACACCAAATGGTCGCACTTCTTCGGCGGACCTGTCCAGACTTGTGGGTGTTGTGAGCACCTCACGAATTCTATCGGAGTCCCTGATATCGGTCTGTCGCAAAATTATGCTGTCTTGGACCAAGGCAAAGGTACCGTATAGCCTCGAATCGCTAGTCTCTTCCTGGCACAAGATACATGTTCCGCTAGGGTACTTCCATAGCTTCTTTTCTGGGGTAGCGTCTGTGTCGGACTCGAGATCGCTGAAATCTTCTTCACCCCAATCGATGTTACCCTGGGTGTTCAAGAATTGTTGCTGCTGTTGCTGGAACTGCGCCATGACCTTGGCTTGCCTCTCCAGTGCTTGCTTCTTCTTGACCTCCTTGTCGTGATCTGCATCAATTGCAGGAGAGTTGGTGTCAATTCGGTCGAAGGGGAATTTGAGAGACGCAGTTGCCGATGAATACGTGCGAGGGCGCTTTTGCCACAGACGTTTGAGTATGTGTCGGATTTTAGGGCCAGATGCGGTGAATTCAGTCGTCACGGAAATTCTCTCCAATAAACCGACAATGGTCAAATGACCGGCCTTGATCTCTCGGGTCTTTGACAAAGCATTCCAGTTGAATGAATTGGAATGCTCTTCTACCATGTCAGTTTCCTCGGAATTATCTTCTAACACTGCTGCAAGGATAAGATGCAAAATCACTTGAAGGAAAGTTTCAACACGTGTCGGTGGGATGGTTGGTGTGCACTCTTTCGATGAAATCACGTATTCCAAACATTGGTGGACAATCTGTGCAAACAGCATCGTGCCGGCGAATCGGGGGAGATCCGAGAACACGCCGGAGCTGATGGGTCGGAGTTTTGGCTCAAACACAATGTCAGATGCATCCTTGCCCGTCTTTTTCGCCATCCACTCCTTATAGATATTCTCTGCCTCATCCCGTTGGTTCTTTGTATAGTGTGCGCTGTATGGATCAATAAGATCGAGATGTTCGGGCTTCAACTCAAAGGTACCAGAGTCGCTCAAGCCCTCGGGTGGGCGGAAGTTGGCGACATCTTCCAACACATCTTGGAACATGTCCGAGTCCAGAAGCTTGTCGCTAAGGCGGGTCGAGAGGTCAGAGAAAGACAGCGGCTTGAAGCACAAGACATGAGCGATGTCACGTTTGATGTTTTCGTGAGTAAGGTGAGTGCTGTCGTCGATGGCAGTCAAAGATGTTCGGTCCGTCAGGAGGATTACCAGTAGATGCACAAATTCCTCTGCCACATCCACAATCTGGGTATCTTCGTATCCAGGACGGGGCATGTAGTTCCGAGCCATCCAGTCTACCATGCCAAAGCGGTGTGCAATGGAAGCAAGAACTCTGCTAGGATCACAAGTAACTAGGGCAGTTTGGAGAAGGAAGATATCTCTGTAGTAGGCAAAGTCACGAGAAGAGACTCCACGGTACTGCGACATTTGATGCCGAAGACTAAGACCATTGCGAACCCACATGCCAGCCTTCATTTGCGCTAGCCAAGCACAAACTCGCAGTGGATAGTCAAACATGGCCAGAAGCAAGTCTTCCGGTCCAAGAGCAAGCAGAACATCATCAACGCTATTAGGGTTGGCAGTCTTGGCGGCATGGATCTCACTCCTCGCTGCATTGGCAGCGTCAAATAGAACGTCGCGCATAGTCTCGCTGCTTATGTCTCGCCCACATTCAATAAGCCATGACAGTGTGTAGTGAAGGGCATGATGGAAACTGATAGATCCACGTTCCACCACGAATTCAACCACCCGATGGCAGGGGACTTGGCCAGAGGCGCCGACCTCAAAATCGAAAGGCGGCAGCTGCTTGAATCTTACTTCATCTTTTATTTCTGCCTGGTCGAACCTCTTGCGTTCTACGCCAGCTGAATGGAGAATTGCAGTGGTAGTGGTGGTCTCGATTGCCCTCAGAAGGTTGTCACCGTTGTCCATTTCAGGGTTGCGGAAAGACTCGCAGAATTGACGGCAAAGTCTGTTGATCTCCCGCATGAGAATTGACGCACTGATCCAGGCGTCTGTTTCGTATTCAACGTGTTCACCAACAGCGCGGACATTGGGGCAAATACCCTGTGAC